CTAAAAATGCATAAAAGACATTAGGCTTATGTTACTTGAGAAAATTTATTTAAATGATATTGGATCCTCTGCATTCTTAAGAATGTTGTGAACAAATTACACTTAAAAAAGTTTAGAAACTTGGCCTACAATAAGCAGTATCAGAAATAATGAAATATCAGTTTGAAGTTTTCAAAAATCATTCTTTTTTAAGATTTTATTTATTTTTATAGAGAAGGTGAAGGGAGGGAGAAAGAGAGGGTGATAAACATCGATGTGAGAGAGAAACATGGATTGGTTGTCTCTTGAACTTGGCCCCCCAGGGACCGAACATGCAGCAGATACATGTGCCCTCAGCTGGAATCAAAGCTGAAGCAAGCTACCCGTTGCTTCACAGGACAACATCCAACCAACTGAGCCACAATGCTCAGGGCTCAAAAATTATTTTTTAATGAAATTTCATTAAGAATCAGAATTTGACTAATTATTAACACTAAAGTTGTTAATAAAATAAGAGATTAAGCTATAGTAAAAAATCAGTTTCTTCTAATTTCTAATTAGGAATATCTAATTTCAATAATTATAATAGAAGTCAAAATCATATATGCCTTATCTGTTACTAAAAACATGAAAAAGTAGAACAAATTAAATTGAGATTAAAAACTGAAATGTTTTATATTCAGATTCACAAAAAACTCTTTTGATAAAAATTCACACACAGTTCTCTCTTATTCCTCACAAAATATTATCCATCACAGGAAGGTAGGAGTTAAAACTTCTAATAGAATTCAAGTACATATTTAGATTTTTTTTGTTTGTTTTGGAAATTTCCTTCACTTTTGATATGGTACTACTGTTCCTAATGATATCTCGGTGTCCCTTCAGCCAGACAGCCAGACCAGACCCTCTGTTTTATCATCTCCAGAAAATAAAATTTTAGAGAGTTCAGGTGCTCAGAGGTGCATTTAGTTCCTCTCATGTTAGCCTCTTCCTCTTTATTCCCAGAGATCCCTGGCCATCGAGTTTTGAAGCTTTTGGAGATTCTTCAGGGTAAATTTGGTTGGTTTTCAGCTCTCACTACCGTTAACTTAAGATTCCACTTTTTCAGGCCTGCGAAGTCTTTTCTGCTTTCTGGTTTCCTAAGTTGTGTTGCAGCTGTCACCTGTACATTTCAATTTAAATTTTACAACCATCGACATGTCAGGACACACTTGTCACACTTGTGACACACTTCTTGCAGGGAATCAGCAATAACAAGTCATGTGACCAGTCACTTGCACGAAAGAAGACCAAAATAAAAACCTCTTCCCTTTCTTACATGTGACTTTAAATTGCATTTATATTTGAAGATTCCATTTTCTTGTGTATTTTTTCCCCAAGAGGAGAAAGACTTATATTTTATAGAGTTATAGAATCACATTTTTAAAAACCATGGTCAGCGTTTTCTCTTCACGCAGCTGCAGAGGAGGTTGCACGTGCGCATGGATCGCCGCAGTGCTGCGGCTCAAGCGCGCCGGTCATCTACCGCAGGTTCCCACAGTGCCTGCGGCACGGGGACTGGGTTTGGATCTGTTTGGTTGGTTTGGAGCATTTGTCTGTGTAATAGTCTTTCTTTTTAATTTCCATAGCTACATAGGGCTAGATTTTTTCTTGGTGTCAGAAATAAAATGACTCACCAGAGCTACCTATAGTGGAAAAAAAAACTTACTATTTTTCATTTCTAAAAAGTGCATATATTATATTTTTAGTCACTGAAGTAAAGTACTCTGAGTTTCATTGTTTTATAAAGTCTTTGTTTCATATTATGCCACATTCTAGTATATTCCAAACCAAAAATTTTTGCTGATACTTTTTTCACAAATGTAGCATAGTTTATATATGTTTATATGTCACTTAGATGATGTAGTAAATGCTGTTGTCATCCTACATGTGTTCCACTTAATCCTGTATTCTGGATTTTATGTATGTATGTATGTGTATATGTATTTTTAGAGAAAGGAAAAAGGAGGGAGAAAGAGAGGAAGAGAAACGTTGATGTGTGAGAGAAACACTGATTTGTTGCGTCTTGTAGGCCCCCTATGGAGGACCTGACCTGCAACCCAACCCCAACCAGGAACCAGAACATGATTCTGGTTTGTGGGATGATGCTACTGAACTATGCCAACCAGGGCATATTCTGGATTTTATTTAGAGTTACCTTTAATAAGTGCTATCATCCTTTCAGACTGTTGCGACTAAGCAAAATACATCAAAACACTAAAAGTTTAACAAATATAATTTATCATCTAAAGATTCGAAATACTCTGTTGCATTTGTGTGGCTCACAGATGTCATTGATCTGGCTTTAAGAACAGCATTTACTATAAATTAGAGTTATGAAATGTCAATTAATAGACCAATTAATAAAATTATTGCAAATGAATTTACTGTGAGTACTGTGTGTAATCATTAGCATCTTTTCTTCTTATCATTCAGTCAGTAATTTGTGGAGTAGCTACTCTATTCATGGTTTGGTGCTAGGAGCTTGTTTTGGTTACAGAAAAGTATGGTATAATTTCTCCCAACAGAGTATAATCTATAATAGTGGAAGAACTCTTTCCTTATCCTTGTCAATTCATTACATAATAATGGCCTATTTTTTTTGAGGGTGTAATTAATTATTTTATTACCACCATCTCTTAACAGACCAACTCTAAATATGTTGTTTTCAGTGCTGCATAGATACTGTATAAGAATTATTTCTTATACATGCAATTCTTATGCTGTTATTACACATATATTCAGAAAAGTATTACCTAAGTTTGTGCTGAAAATTAAAATATTATGTATGACTTGCTTTTACGTATGTTTATTACATTCATTAATTTTGCTCTACTAGTACTTATTAGTGAAACATTGTGTATTTCACAAAAGAAAATAAAGAAGATAAAGGATACTAATTCTCATGCAGTTTGTATTTTTTTTTATTCAATAGAAAGGTTATATTTCATCCTAGACATCTATCAGCAATTGACTACAAGATGTCCAATTAATATGCTATGTATGTCTTTCATCATTGTAGAAAATTAGAGGTTTTTTGTGTGTACTATGAATATCTTCCTGAGAATATGTCATAAAATATTTCTGCAATGTGTATTTTTCTACAAATATATATATCAGCATGTGAAATGGTTAATCATCATTTATCATGATGAACAATAAAGTAGAAAAACCATTAATAAATTAATCCAATGATTTCAGAAATGTTAGTATATAACTCAAACCTAAATCCTTAAAAGCAGCTTAACAATGAAGTTGGAAAGGAATCCTCCTTATTCTAACTCTTATGTAATTGTTTTATGTGAGTTTGATTTGTTTTAATTTAAAAGTATTAACTTTCTTTTATTAAAAAGATTTAAAAGGCTTATCTAAGAAATAGAAGAAGATCAAAAACTATGAATAATAAAATGACAACAAACTCACAACTGTCAACAGCTGAATCTAGAAAAAAAAACAAAAACTAAGCAAACACCTAGAAGAGGAAACGAATCAGAGAAATGATTGCGTGGAGGGTTATCAGTAGGGAAGGGGAGGGGAGGGAGGGGGAAGGAAGGTGCAGGGAAGGGGAGGGGAGGGAGAGGGAAGGAAGGTGCAGAGATAAAATAGATGGGTAGAGGTAAAGAATGGTATAGAAAACAGAGAAGCCAAAGAACTTAGTTCATGGACATGAACTAAGGGGGAGAATGCTGGAGATTTGGGGGGTGCAGGGCAGAAGGGGGATAAAGGGGAAAGAATTGGGAAAACTGTAATAGCGTAATCAATAATATATATATATATATTTTTTTTTAAATGTTTAAAAGGAAGAGTTGCCCAGTAAAGGCCAGAACATAAAATGCTTTTCTGAAACTTTCTTAATTATGTATTCTTCAGATCTAATTTATCTATTTTTATTATAAGCCTATAGGATATAATTGCTAATCTAAGAGTTTTTCTTGACATTAATTTATATCTTCAAGTTTATTCTTTGTTCAAATTATTGTGATTAAATGTTGGGTTTATAGTAATACTCATTATAGAACATTTATGATAATAAATTGTATCTAAGAGCTAAATTAAAAAAAATCACATTTTTTAAGAAATTGCTGAGAAATACAAGTCTGTAAATATTTTTGTTTATCCACACATATATAGTATGTAGACATATACATATAAAATATAAGTGTACATTTTATATAGTATATATATTTATATTTACATATAATTATATGTATAACTGGCCTGAAAACTTTGATGTAAATGCATTATGTATTTTTCCCCACTTTTAGAGGTGAATTTCTAATGGAGTACTTAATTACAGTTATTAGTTACAAAAGTTTATAGTTGGGTTAACATTAACGTAGAAAAAGGGGGATAGGCAAATATCTCTAAGAATTGACAAGTTAAAACTTTTTTTAAAGATTTTATTTACTTATTTTTAGAAAGGGAAGGGAGGGAGAAAAAGAGAGAGAGAGAGAGAAACATCAATGTGCAGTTGCTGGGGGCCATGGCCTGCAACCCAGGCATGTACCCTGGCTGGGAATCGAACCTGCGATGCTTTGGTTTGCAGCCCACGCTCAATCCACTAAGCTATGCCAGCCAGGAAAACTTTTTCATATTATGGAATCATTAGACAAAGCCAAGAATAGTTAGTGTATTGAAATATGCATAGTATTAAAAAGTAAAGCATTTATTACACATGTACGCACTCGTGTATTTATTCTTTCATACAACACCCACCCCCATCATTTCACAAACTTGAAGTTGCCAAAATTACAAAGTGTCAACTATATTACTGCGTCTTGGAAGGTATATCATATTACATTTACTGAAATTTATGCCTTCTACAGTGTTTAACACCTGACTCTTAAATTTATGTAACTTAATATTTGCATAACTTGTTATGAGACCACAATTTTGAAGTAGCAATTCAAAGCAAAAGATTTGGATGTTTGATTATTTTAGCTGCACATTCATTAATTCTCAATTTTTTCTTTTTTATGCAGAGGTACCTCCCTGTTGACACAATAGAATCTGGCATCCATCCTGTGTATTTTTGCAGCACTCACTATGTTGAAATGCTCCTGAAGGCAGAGGTGCCACTTGTGTTTTCAGCTTTCCACATGTCTGGTTTTGCACCATCACAGGTAATCCACAAGGGAGTGATGTTTCCTCAACTCCCAGACTTCGATGTCTTTAAAGAAAATTACACTCTTATCAGATATAAGAAATACATTTAAATTAATAAGATCATTTTTGTAAGTATTTATACTTTTGTGTTTAAATTCCTAAACTGGCTTCTTTTTCTTGCATCTATTAGAATATATAGCTTTACTTTATAGTAGACGTCTGGCATTCACAGAATTTGAATTCAAGTTCAACTATTCAAAGGTGTAGCTATTTTGAAAGTCTATGACATTAGGCTTTTTAATGGAGATAATATTTGCTTCAGAAGGCAAATTTAAGGATTAAGTAACTGAGGGCAGTAATTTGTATCAACACTGAGTGTCTGGTATGTGAGATACTGTATCTTTTTAAATTTTTATTTTATTTTTATTTTTTCAGTATAATCTTGATTTATTGTTTAATGAGTTGCTTTACTTCAGATTTCATTTATTGTATTTATTTATTTATATTGTTGTTCAAGTACAGTTGTCTTCATCTTCCCACCACTGCTTTCCCCCACCCTACCCACCCCTATCTCCCACCCTCTATCCTTCCCCCCTTTGGCTTTGTCCATGGGTCCTTTATACATGTTCCTTGATGACCCTTCACCTTCTTTCTCCCATTACCTCTGTCTCCCCTCCCTTCTGGTTACTGTCAGTTTGTTCTTTATTTCAATGCCACTGGTTATATTTTGCTTGCTTGTTTTGTTGATTAGGTTCCATTTATAGGTGAGATCATACGGTATTTGTCTTTCACTGTCTGGCTTATTTCTCTAGCAGAATAGTCTCTAGTTTTATCCAGGCTGTCATGAAGGGTAGGAGCTCTTCTTTCTGCTGCATAGTATTCTGTTGTATTGATGCACCACAGTTTTTTGATCCACTCATTTACTGATGGGCACTTAGGTTGCTTTCAGCACTTGGCTATTATTGTAAATTGTGCTGCTATGAACATTGGGGTGAATAGGTTCTTTTGAATTGATATATCAGGGTTCGTAGGATATAATCCCAGCAGTGAATTGCTGGGTGAAATGGCAGTTCCATTTCTAGTTTTCTGAAGAAATTCCATACTGTTTTCCTGAGGGGCTGCACTAGTCTGCATTCCCGCCAACAGTGCACCAGGGTTCCCTTGTCTTCGCAACCTGGCCACCACTTCTTGTTGTTGTTTTGTCAACGATGAGCACAAAGATATCTGAAAGGATACTCTGCATCACTAGCCATCAGAGAGATGCAAGTTAAAACCACAATGAAATATCACTTCACATGGATGAGAATGGCCATCATAAGCAAATGATAAGATACTGTATCTTACCTAACAAGAAAGCCTAGAGCTGTGTTTCTGCTTTTGGGATCTAAGAAGTTTTCACGATTTTTCTAGGGCCTAGAGTTGTGTGTATGGTCACATGGCAGGAGCCGCAAGTTTATGGTTAAGATTATCTTGATCTTGGAGCTTATTTGATCTGTTTATGTGTCATGCTTGGTAGACTATCCTTCATTGCCTTGGATTTGTCCTACCAGAAACATTTGCCTCTTAATTAGACAGTAGCTCTTTTTAATGTTATGACCCGTCTTTATACTTACTTTGAAGAGCCCTTATGTCATTTGTTACATTTACTTGTACCAGGTTACTCCACCTGTTGTTTTAAATTTCCTGAAATTAATTAGAAGCCTAATTAAGGAATTACATGTAGTGGAAAGGAACACTCTTTATCAGCTGATTGTAGCTCTTACTGTGTATGTACCTAAAACACTCCCGGGAAATTTGAATTACAAAATGGTAACTTTGTTTGGACATAGTTACTTAAATATTTAATATAAGCTCAATAATACATTATTTCAATTCTTCTAAAAATTGAAGTTGTGGAGCAATCTGTTCCTGAGAGTTCCTTTTCGCCATTCTAGTTGTGATTGATATGTTGTGTGTTGTCTAATACTTCCAATCATTTAATAGCTCTTGACATATCCTTTTAATTTCAAAATGGACTACCAAAGACTGTGGGGAAAACTTGCAATACATCAGGCCACACTGTATCAATTTTGTATCTATCATTTTGTCATCTCTTTATCAATTTGACAAGTCTTTATCAATTGTGTTATCTTTATCAATTTGAAACTGCTTGCATGTAACAAGCAGATTTATCTAATAAAAACCACTGCATTATTTCTCAGCAGTAATATTATGTTTCTTAAATTATCTAATGTAAAAATGCTTTTTAATGGCTCCCTTTGTGAACTAGTTATTTTGTGTCTAAAGTATATATCATTGCTTTGTTGATATTATTTTGCCATTTTACTGGTAATTATAAAATATGTAAACTACTTTTAATTAACTAGATGGGTATGTGTGCTTAAGTAATTGTTTGGATACAAATTTTGTATTTCAAAGCTTATTCATTTTGAACTAATTAGAAGCAGTGCTTTTTGAAGTTGTTAATTTCTAGACACAAAGGGATTGGGATTGGTTGATTAATGAAGGATTTGTGGGTAGGTTGCTGAATAAAATATGCAGCTCACTGCAGTAAAAATAACAAGCTCAACTAGAATACAAAAATATAAAGTCAGAAATACATATTTGTTGATTACAGTTTCTTCTAAGAGTAATTGAGATTGGAAAGGAAATAGAAATTCAGATATATAGTCTTCTTAAATGAACAGAAAGTCGTTTTTTCTAATTAACTTTTTGACCAATTTTACAGAACTTTCCTTATTGAATTTTATTAACTTCCTTGGTTTAAGAAGTACCGCATGTCTTTAATCCTTTATCTCTTGTAATTCCTTTGGGACATCATTTGGCATATTATTGATTATTGTAGTCTGTGTTAGCAAGTGGGCTAACGTGGATAATTTTCTGAATACACTCTAGAAAAACCTCTGGGTTTTTCTCTTTTGCTGGGTCTCTACCACCACCACTACCACAAAAGCAGAATTATAGATTACTATTTTATCATTTCATATATCGTGACAGTACTTTATGAAAATGTAAAAGTGTACGAAGGCAAAGCAGAATGTCAAGGCTAGGAATGCCCCTTGTTCAGAGTCAGACTGAGAAACGAGTCCCAAGGGGCTTTGCCTCTCAGACTCACGTGGCTGATGTTGCCACTTGAGATATCTTCTCCCTCCCTGTGCTCCATCTTTACTAGCTTATCCTGATAATGAGGACTTCTCTTAAAACTACATATTTGATTTTGAAATTAGTTTTACTTCTTACTTTAGTAATTATTTCTATGGTGAGAGCAAATACAATAAGACCAGAATAGTTGTTAAAAATAGATAGTGTCTTTGAATCATAAAAGTCAATCATTTAAATCATACATACTTTGGCTTATTCAGGTATCTGTAAGGAATTCTTCTTCACTTTTTTTTTTTTGCTTAATTCTTATGGAATGCTTTGAAGATTATTAAGTCTCCATACCTATGAGAATAATTTACCTCAGATAAAATAATTATGTTTATCTCAGTGTTGCATCTTAATGTTCTTTGGCATAAGCTTAAGTATGATCAAAGAGAAAATTTCCTAGGAAGGCTATGGTACATTTTGATATATATTGTACAAGTGATTTTTCTTCCTTATAAACCTAAAAAAGCCATTTAAGTGTCTTAAAGTATAATTAGGTCTAAAGAACATTGGTTTACTAGAAAAACAAAAGTTTGTTTCACTTTCTTTGTAAACCATTTTATAAATGACTATTTTTCAACAAATATGAGGACTCAACTGCTTCTTAAAAATATATAACATTGCATATTTTTGAGATGTATAAGAAGGAGTTTGGCAATTTCTAGCAAAATCACATGTGCATTTACCCATTAACCCAGCAATGTTGTTTATAGAAGTCTATCCCAAAGATACATTGAGAAAATTTTGAAAATAAATGCATACAAATATGTTTTTATAGCACTATTTATAGTAGCAAATGACTAGAAACAATGAAGATGTCTATGAATAGGGATTTGGTTGAATAAATAATGTTTTATCCACAGTGGAATACTATGCAATTGTAAAGATGAGTGAAAACTCTCTTTGTATATTGTCGTGGAATAATATATGGGATCTTTTTGTTAAGTGAGAAAAAGGAGGACGAAAAGAATTTGTGTTATGTTATCATTTATATAAGAAAAGGTGGGATTCAAATGTGCTTATTTTAAAAACATGAATAAGCGTACCATATTTTAACAATGTTGGCTTTTATGATAGAGAAGGAATGAGCTGAAAAACCACGAAATATTCCTTGCTTCATATTTTTACTTTCAAATCATTTTAAGATTTTATGTAATAACATAAGTACATATAAATAACCAACTGAATAAATTAAGAACATACAGTCACACTGAACAGATGAACCTAATAGCACCCACTCGATGGGCTAAGCCCATGGGAAGCACTTTAAAGCGCTGTCATTTGACTGTACATGCCTAGTGACATGCCATCTGATGACAAAAGAACAGGAAAAATGCTGTGTTTTGAGTAATCACATTGTTCGTGGTAGGATTGGTATTATTCTGAGATTATTTTTTCTTGCATGATAAATGAAATGAAAAGTTATACTGATACCATTGATAACTGAGATTTTTCAATGTGTTTTAAAATAATCAAAGACAAAACTTATAGCCACTAAAGAGAGGGAACCTATAGAGAAAAATGGACTTGGAACCTATCAACTAATCAAAATTTTGAAGCTGTGTTAGATCTGGTTCCTATACAATTTTCATATATACGTATTTTTAAAATTACGTAATAAAAATGTTAAAGAAAGAGTTTATCCTGCCTAATTGGGCACTTAACTAATTCCTTCATCCTGTGAGAATGCCGGACCATCAGCTGGTTTGCAGACCCTCGCATTTTATAAAGATGGAAAAGTTACTTGCTCAAGGATTAAAAATTGTGACTCATAGTTCAGCACTCTACCAGGGCAATAGTGTTTTAGAATTCTATTACAATTTAATAATTCCTAAGTATCTCATACATATAATAACAATAGGAGATATAATTTCTGCCAAGTCAGGAGGGTTGAATTCTTTAAAAAATGCATGCCTCCCCTTTAAGTGTAAGGTCCCTAAGAACAGGGACCTTTTGTTCACTTAAAAATTATAATCTAAGCCCTGGCTGGCATAGCTCAGTGGATTGAACTCAGGCTGGGAACCAAAGTGTCCCAGGTTCGATTCCCAGCCAGGGTACATTCTTGGGTTGCAGGCCATAATCCCCAGCAACCACATATTGATGTTTCTCTCTCTCTCTCCCCCTCTCTGTCTCTCTCCTCCCCCGTCCTTTCCCTCCCTAAAAATAAATAAATAAAATCTTAAAAAAAAGTTTTTAAAAAATTATAATCTTGTATATTAGATACTCAATAAATATTTTAATTGAATACTAGACATCTGTATCTTTGTTATAGAATAACATATACATAGCATATATATTTTCAAAGTGCTTTCAGTTTTTTCTCATTTTCCTCTCCTAGATTTCCCATACATAGAAAATACAGCTATATATCTCCATTAAATGGAAGAAAACAATGCTTGAATTTATGTAAATGCCAGAAAATTGCAACAGTATTAGAAACTATATAATAAATAACTAATTGCAGGTTCTGGAATTAGTTATTACTGGGATTATTAGTTAGATTCTGGGGTGATTTTCTTTTAACCAATCTGGGTAAAGGCAGATGGATAACTATCTCTCTACATACATTGTAACTTCAGATATATTTGTTGGAACATATAAAGTTGGTAGATTTAAAGGTTAAAATGAGTCTGTGAGCAGTAGTTTCTCACTGTTCAACCTGTAGAAAAGTAAGGCCAACTAGAAAAGGATGGACAGAACCTGTGACCCCTTTCATCTTTGTCTCCTTGCTAATCCCTGAAACTCACACCTAGGAACTGCTCTCTCTGGCTGCAGAGATTATTTGTACTACTTTCCACTCTTCAGGTGTTTCTCCTTCATTCATCCAGAGATTCTCATTTTCATTAACACAACCCGCTCTTAAGTTGATTGGCATTAGTAGCTGCAGCAACAAACAGAGACAGAGAGAATCCTGGCAACAGTGCTTTAAAGGAATGAAAAGTATGGCTTTCAGTCTTAGAACCATTAAATCCTCCAACCTATCTAGTCAAGTGGGAGAGGAGGCATTTTTTTTTCTCTGCAGTCCAGTAGAGCCACATCATATGGATATTTGGTGGGCAGTAGAAGTTTGGTAATGAACTCTGCATGCCAACTGACCCTCCAGGTTGAGGGAGGTCTGGGGAAAGAATCCTATCAAAGTCAAGTGAACAGTAAAGTTGGCACCAAAGGAAATGAAATATATCCTGCCTATTGACAAATATTATACATTTGTAGACATATTTTAAGTCGATACTAAGTTATTTCATGAGCTCTATGAAAAGATTTGAAGCATAGTAGAAAGGAACCTAATTTTGTAAAGGAAAATTTTATACCTGAGGACAGAATTACAATAAAAAACAGTAGAAAATATTTGGTCTTATAGAGTTGACATTATCAATAATGAAACAGGAAATATGAGCAGGAGATGAAAAGATGTGTCCATACCGGCTGACATTTAAGGGTTAATGGCTGCCATGAGTCATGATGTATGGAAAACAAAAATGCAATGATATCATCTAGTATGGGCTGAATTGTGTCCCTCCACATTCATCTGTTGAAGTTCTAACCCTCAGCAGATGACTATTTAGATATAAGGTCTTTAAAGGTGGTAATTGTGTAAAAACAAAGTCATTCGGGTGTGCCTTAATCCAGTAGGAGTGGTGTCCTTATAGGAATAGCATATTTGTACACAGACATGTAGAGGAAAGACCATGTGAAAATATGAAAGAAGGCTGCCATCTATAAGCCAAAGAGATAGGCCTCAGAAGAAACCAACCCGGCCAACACCGTGATTTTGGACTTCTCCAGAATGGTGGGAAGATAGAGCCCTGTTGTTTGAGTTGCCCAGTCTCCAGTACTCTGTCATGGCAGTCCTGGTAAACTAATATGCCACATTAAAGGCAGTGAAAAGCAGAATCAGCATCCCCCCAAATTGAATCGAGGATATAAAAACAAATTTTGGAAACTATTCAAGAATATATTTTTAAAAGAACAAAATGATACAACAAAAGAAAAATTGTATCTCTGTATCTTTTGTGTTTATGATAAATTGATATAAGCTACCACATCTGTTCCTACCCCCCTAAGTCATAAAACTATAGGAAAATATAGGTTCAATTAAAGAAGTCTTTCTTCAGTGGTAATGTGTTGCTCATTTATGAAAACTGAAATATTGGAAACCAGTTAATTGCCTTGATTTCCCAAGACTGTGGTATTATAAACTAGGCCACTTAAAATGACAGAAATGTACTGTCTCACAATTTTGGAAGCCAGAAATCAAAATCAAAGTGTTGGCAAGGCTGTGTCCCCTCTGAACACATGAAGGGTAAAGTTTGGTGTTTCTTTCCTAGTTTCCAGTAGCCTTAGATTTTTCTTGGCTTGTAGATAGATCAGTCATCTTTCTTCATGTGTGACGTTTTCTGTGTGTGACTTTCCAACATCTTCCCTCTGTGTGTGTCTCTCTTTGTCCAAATTTCCTCTTTTCGTATGGTTGCCAGTCAGTATCGGAATAGGGTTCACCCTAATTTTAACTTGACCTAATTTTAACTTGATTACTTCTGTAGGGACCCTATTTCCAAATAATGTCACATTCACAAGTACCGGGGTTAGGACTTAGACATGCTTTTTGCAGGAATACACAATTCAATTCATAACATTAATGTACCAAAATGTTAACAATGTTAATCTCTGTGTGATTATTTTCTTTTTCTTAAACTTTACTATTTTTCCACAATGGACATCTATCTCTTTTATAACCTGAACAAATGTGATTCAAAAAGTAACAAAAATTACTGTTTTTAAAGTCTCATTTTTAAATATTCTCTACATTAGCTCTCAGGTTTTATGTTATATAATTCTGTTTGGTTTAAATTGTTTTCTGATTCAGCAAGAGTCCATTTGCATTAATGTAACATTTAGCAATCTGTCATCTGCATAATTACACATCTGTGATTATAGGTGGGACAGGAAAAAACTTCCATTTCTGATTTAAAATAGTATCTGTAGAGAGCAGACTGGTGTTATCAGTAGGAGAAGACAAGATGAGCAGAGAAGGCATTGAGCAATAGGTATTTGAGCAGCATGAGCATCATCAGTTGACCTCATGTCCTGAGTCCCAAGGACATGACAGTTTTTTCATGCACTGAGTAAATAGATGAAGCATCCTGGTTAGACTCAGATGCAGAATGTTTTTCATTTTCACTGAATGCTGAGCTCTTCATTGGTTTTGTATGTATTATTGGTTATTGTTTTTTGGAAATCAAATAATGGTGTTACAAACTTTCTAATGAACTGACTTTTTTTTTTCTAGATTTGTCTCCAATGGATAACTCAGTGTTTTTGGAATTATTTAGATTGGATAGAAATCTGCCATTATATTGCCACTTGTGTTTTCCTTGGTCCTGATTATCAAGTGTATATCTGTATAGCTATATTCAGACATCTGCAACAAGACATTCTACAACACACTCAGACTCAAGATCTGCAGGTTTTTCTAAAAGTAAGTGTTTTTATATGTAAAGGGAAAATGGTTAAGATTTAATAGGTAACTTTGATGGGGTGCTTAATGAATGATATTTTTCCAGACAGTCATCTAATCCTAAAAACTACCTTTGGAGGAAGGTACTATTATCATCCTCATGTTAGAGATGAGGAAACTGAGCCACCAAATTAAGTAAATTGCTCAAAATTATACAAGTAGAGAGTGATGGAGCTGGAATGTGAAATTAGGCTGTCTGGATCCAGAACTTTGCTTTTAATTAGTGTGCTATGCCAAAGGAGACTTATTGTTTTTATATTCTATATCTTATTTTTAGTCCAAGTTCAAGTTTTGTGTTAATACAGAGGTTTGGTACTTTAAAAAAAAACACTTAATACAACTTATTATACCTTTATATTCTATGTTTTTCTAAACTTCTAATTTTTGTAAAAGGGTTTCTTAAAATATTATTCTATCATAATATGCTTTTTAAAAAGTCATTACAATATATAAGTTAATATTTTAAAACAAGACATAGTTGGTTACCTTTTTGTTCACAATAATAAGACTTTCGAAGCTCTGGACTTTAGGAAATGTATGATATATAAATACACCCCTGTGTGCAATTTGTGGTGGCTGTCCAACTCTGTTTTAAGTTAAAATCTTTCCTTGGATTTAAGTGTGTTTCCCTTCCCACAGGTACACATTGACTTCCGTACACCAATACCCATATCTGGCGTTTGCTAATTTTTCTCTAGTCAATGACTAATTTCTGTGTAAACGAATTTCGTCTTTATTTCTTTACCATTACATATTGTCTGAGTTATTTTCCATTTAATGATGATTTTCTGTAAATAAATGGCATTGATTACTTAAGATAGCCAAACTGTCAAGAACTTTTATTTTGTAAGTACAGAATTCAAAAGGTCTCAAATTTCCTACATATATTACTGGAATTATGGTTTTAGAAAAATTCGTAATGAAAAAGTATACCAAGACAATGATTGGACATGTAGGAGAAAAACTTAGGTAGAAAAAAAATGACCTGCAAAAGGGCATTTGTAGTACAGGGGTGGTTAAGTAAATGGGAATTATGTTGAGGGCAAAATATGAATTATTTTTCAGTAAGGGATATTTTTGTCAGCTGCATGGTCATTTATGGAGGTTTCAGAGTCTGAAATTTCCCCAAACTCTTATATTTGTGTATCCCTAACCAATAATTCTCTAACCTCTTATCCTACTTTAGTTTTTCTTACAGTTTGTCACTAGCTGAAATTGTTTTATATGTATTTTTGTCACTCTTCCCCAGTATAATGGGTAAGCACCACAAGAACTTGATTTTGTCTATATTGTTAACTAATGCATTTTCAATGCCTGGAACAGTACCCAGTACATAGTAGGTGCTCAATAAATACTTGTTGCTAGAATAATCAAAGACTGTAAGTAAATATAAAGGGAAAGGTGAATGAATTTAGTTTTATTCACATTGAATAACAATCATTACAAAATTCTTCGAATGATTGTTACGTATGCCCCTCCCTGCCAGAAGGGTGTCTTCATATTCATCATCTTTAAATCTGATAACAGTGGTGATTATTCAGTTTCATCTCTTTCTTCAATAACGACAGGAACATTGTGATGGAGTTTGCAAATCATGACCTCCTTAAATGTGTCCCAAACTCTAATGTGCTCTAGGCACAATGCTATCAATTTAAAATTAAACAGTTTTTAAATGGGGGGAAAAACATTATCTTTACCAACTAAGTCTTATTTAAATCACTAAAATTTTAATTGAATTGGTTTAAATCCAAATTAAGGACGTGCTGGCAAAGAATTAATTGTTAGTACTTGTCCTGGAACAAACCTTACTTCTTACTCCTGCTGTTTGCAGTCATCTGAGGGATTAGAAAAATGCCCCTCGAATACTGACTTCACTTCACTTTTTGTTTGCTTTTCAGCAGGTGGTGTCAACGTCACTGATCTCTTTTGGTGGGCAGTTTTCTTTTTGTGAGATAAATTCTAGTGTAGTTTATTTAAATATGTATTTACATAACCCTTTAGCTGCTCTATTAAGTCTTGTTTCATTTGCAGAGTACATAAGTTTATGTATACCATGTTCCACTTATTGACATTCACCAGTGATGGGATTCTGGTTAATAAAGTAATTTTTATATAGCCCTCAGAACATCCCTGAAGTCAGGAATAGCTATATGATTTACAAATTACTTATTTAACTATAATTATAGGGATTAAACCTTTGAAATTATGTTTTATACTTTCTGACCCAAAATCTCAGCATTGTACTCTAAGAGAGAGAGAAAAAAACAAACCTTGTCAACAATTCTCCATGTTAGACCTGTCACATCCATAATAATATCCTTTTAACTTATGTTTTATTCCCTGACTCAACATATTTAATAATGATTGCTTCTGAGAAGAAAGGAGATGAAGTAGAGTAGGAAACTTTTACTTGTTTTATATATTTGCACGTATTTATGTGGACTTTTTTGTTTTTGAAGAATGGGCTCATACTTCTTTGGTAATAAAACTACTTTTTAAAAGGAAATTGAATTATTATATAAAAGTAGATAAAGCAAACATCTGACTTGTAAATAAGTTCAAATAATTAGGCCCAATTGAATTAGTTTCCAAAATGTTGAAAAACCATAAACATAAGTGTTTCATGAGTATCAGTTATTCTGAGAAACTTCAGATGAGGTGGTTCCAGAAGATTGAAAATATGAATTCTCTTCCTGGGTTAAGTTTCAGGTATTGACAGAAAGTGGCATGATCGAAGCTTAAAGAAAATACCAACCCACGTGTCTTCATTTGGGTTTCAGTTCACTGTTGTAAATCAGTTAATTGAGAGACTAGACTCATTGTCTACCCTTGTAATAGCCCACTGGATAATTCTTTATGATCAGTCAATATATTTCAAAGACTACTTGGAATTTCTTAGACCAGAAGGTGGTGAACACTAGTGGGCAACCCAGGTTTACTAAAAAGCAAAACAACAAACAAAAGTATTTTTTCTCTGTTGATTAAACCACTAAATCATTAGATGAATATCATATGTTCATATAAGCAAGGTATGGTCTGAGTTTTTCACCGTATTTGCAGACAAAACAAAAATGTGGGTTGGATAACTGAGCAGCTAAATGCATTATTCCCACACTATGGTGATTAATACGTTAGTACCAAGCAAGGTGGCAGCTTCTGAAGGCATGCTGAAGGCAAGCTTAGTCCTTGTTCTTGGGATTCTGAACATTTTTATCTGTGACAGATGATGGTTCAGAAAATCTGGAGGCATCAAACTTCCAGAGAGAAAAACATCCAACAAAATAAATATTCTCAAATATCTTAGCACGCTTGAAAGTCTAAAGTTGTCTTTTTGGTAATGCAGTCATTCTGTCCCCTCCTCTCTCTCTCCCACACACACACTCACACTCACACGCAGAGAAGCAGAAGACACAGATACAGACACATGTTTGGTGAGAGTTAGTTTAATAGTAATTTCAGAGGACCCTCTGTTTTAGCTGGCTGGCTGTATTCATCCCTCTCTAGCATGCTAATAGGCTGGCAGTGATCTTGATTTTTAGTTTGTGAATTCAACCTGGGGACAAATGTCACTGAAATGCCAGGCTAGGAAAAGAATTGCCTTCCAGAGAAAGGCTATGAAGGCTCAAAATACTTAATTAAAATGCTTCAGCTAAACCTTGCATATTCTTGCCTATTATGGCAAAATCAATTTATAATTATGAAAAAATCAGATTAATTTCAACCCAACCAGTTAATTGTCAAGAGGAATTTTTTGTGTGTGTTGCTGTTACAGCTGTTGCTCCAGAACATGTTGACAAGCTAAGAAATGGTGATTAGACGGAGAAATCAATTGAATGCTAAGCTTTGAAAAACAAAAGTGTACATAATAATAAAAATAGTTCACTCACTGAGGGGATAGATGAAACATGTTCAGTACTTTGTCAACTGTCGTTTACAGATATACCGATATTTTCTGCATTGTCCTGAATATAAGTTGAGGTCACTTGAATTCTGGCTCTTTCACTAACTGTGAGCTGGGGAATGTTGCTTAGCCTCTCTGCGCCTCAGTTTTTTCATTTGTATGATTGGGCATGAAATAATACCTATTACATTAGGTTGTTGAGGAATAAAATTAGATGATATCTATAAAGTACTTCTAAAACATCATCTTGTGGCACACTTAAAATTTTTTTTTGCATTTCTACATTCCTGTTCCATGCCTCTCCCATCTATCTCCTTGTTCTTAAGAAATAAGACATATAGAGAATACAACAAAAGAAACAGTTTTCTACCAAGTCCATAGCTAGACTATAAACTGTTGCTCCCATTTTTTCCCCTCCTACTCCAAGATATCTTAGTATTTGATATCATAGTAATACCTGGCGTTATGTCTCCAGGTATTATGTTAGGAACAGGTATTATGTCCAATTCTATGTCAGGAACATTCATTTACATTGTATCTGATCAAGGTCTATTTCTTTATGTACCCAGCCAAGATTAAATCATCTTCCTAGTCATCACATATGCCCATGAACTCTTCAGCTGAGTTAAAAATTTTTAAGAACCACTTACTGTATCCTAAATATTTGAGAACTTCATATTTTATCCAGAACTACACATCTATTTAAACTTTCTTAATCCTAAGAATAACAAGGGAACTTATTAAAATTGATTTATCTAGATTCCTTCCCAGACCATTTAAGATGGAATTTTCATGACAGAGTACTGAGTTGTCAGATTTCAGTACAAATTCTCAAGGAGCTTGAAACTTTTGGAATATGTAAAATTGTTAACTTTGAAGTTTGAATCCAGTATGCCAAATTCAGGATTCAAAAGTTTTGGAGATAGGACTTCCAAGAATTTCTGATTTTACCAAGTACTCCAGGATGGATGTCCTAGAAGCAGTATTACTTGCAGGTTGTGTTTCTGCCCCTTTGATCAGATGAGAAGGTCCTTTTTCATACTCCAGGTCAGACACAACACACAAAAGTTCGTGTCTAGGGAGAGCAGACATGTGTTCACAAAACTCCTTCTCTCATGTGACTATTGTGATGTGATTTGTTGCTTCTAACATGAAATTTGACATTAACACAAATGCTTTGTTAAATGACTTCAGTGTACAGTAAATTCTACACCTTTTGTGATAAACATTTATTTTATATTATTTTCTGATGATTATTAGTGAGAGTCAATTCTTTATTCCAATATAACCCACTCAAAGGGACTTACCCTACTCTTTTCCTTGTGATATTAGTTAATAAGACTATAGAGGTTTCAAGTATACATTTCTATGATACATGATATGTATATTACATTGTGTGCCCACCACTCAAATTCAAATTGTCTTGCAACATCATATATTTATCTGGTCCTCTTTACCCTTTACTAACCCTCATCCTAACCCTTTACTGTCCTTCAAACCCCACTTCCATCTGGTAACCACCACACTGTTGTCTGTGTCTGTGAGTTTCATTTTTCTGTTCCACATATGGGTGAAATCATGTGGTTCTAGTTTTTTCTGATGGACTTGCTTTCCTTACTATAATATTCTCAAGGTCCATCCTTGTTGTCACCAATGGCAGTATTTCATCTTTTCTTATGGCTGAATAGTATTCCATAGTATATATGTATCACATCATCTGTATCCAGTCCTCTATCAAAGGACACTTCGAATGTTTCCATGCCATGGCCACATAAATAGTGCTACAGTGAATATCAGGGCATACTTATTTTTGCAAATATTTTCAAGTTTTTCAAATAAATGCCCAGAAATGGGATTTCTGGCTGCTGTGGTACCTCTCCTTAATTTTCTGAGGACTGCTATGCTGATTTCCATAGTGACTCTACCAGTTCACATTCCCACCAGCAGTGAATGAGGGTTTCTTTTTCTCCACAACCTCTCCAACACTTGTTATTGCTTGCCTTGTTGATAAAAGCCATTCTAACAGGTGTGAGGTGGTGTCTCATCATAGTTTTAATTTGCATTTCCCTAATAGCTAGTGAAGTTGGGCATCTTTTCATATATCTGTTCGTCCTCTGCCCATTTTTTAATTGGTTATTTTGGTGTTGAGTTGTATGAGTTCTTTATATATGAGTATTTTGGATATTAACCCCTTATCAGAGCTGCTGTTAGAAAATATCATCTCCCATTTGGCTGGTTCCACTCTCTTCTGGCTTGTAGAGTTTCTCGTAAGAAGTTTGATGATAACCTAGTGGGCATTCTTGTATAAGCTACTTTCTTCTCTCTCCTGGCTGCCTTGAAAATTCTTTATTTGTCAATAATTTTTGCCAGTTTTAATACAATGTGCATGGAGAAGGCCTTTTTGGATTGAGGTAACTAGGTGTTCTGCTTGCTTTTTGGATTTGAGGATCTAGCTCTTTCCATAGTTTTGGGCAATTCTCATCATTTATTTGTTTGAATAGACTCTCTGTTCCTGTCTCCCTCTCTTCTTCTTCTTCTAGTAATTTTACCTTTAAACTATAATCTCCAGAAAGGCATGAATTATACTAATTTTTTATAACCTCCAAAACTAACATAATACTTATTACAGAGTCAAGCATAAGCTTCTTCCAGCAGATTTTTGTTGCTGTTGTTGTTGGTAACCTTGATGGGTAGGTACTGCCTAGCCAGTATTCTAAAAGATACTAGCTGTCATAGAATTCCCTAACAGCTACTAAGATTCTAAATGGATGCCCCTACTGTTTTTTACTTTTGAGTGCCTCTCTTGGAAGACTAACCATTAAATTCCAAATCAGTACAGACATGCGTAGTACCACCATTATGAATCTCAGACTGTTGAAGGTTTTGTGAACAATTGCTGTAAATAGGTGTATCTTGCAGTATTATAGTATTCTTTAGCAGAAAAGCTCTAGGGTCTTTACTAATTACAAATGTAAACAGTCATTCTTTAATTGAGACCTATTTAGATATCTAAAATATCTAAGAGTTTGTTTTATTTTTTGTTAGCTGTAAAGCATTTTTGCTTTTGAAAACGCACAACCTTGTTTCATAGGGACATGGTTTCTTGCTATCGTCTGCACACACAGCCTATCAAATAGAAAACAATTACACGTCTACTAGCAACATGGAATTCCTTGCCTATAACTGAAAAAAGAGATGCACCAACTATTTAAAATTTATTAACTTAGAATTGTGTGTCTGTACCCAAGCAAATGAACTGTTCCCTTTATGTTTTTTGACAGGAAGAAGCACTGCATGGGTTTCGAGTGAGTGATTACTTTGAATATATGGAAATGTTGGAACAAAACTACCGACCAGTGTTGCTGAGAGACATGCGGAACATTAGAGCACAGAGCACGTAGATCATAGCACAAAAGGACTTGATTGTTTCCTATCCGTGTCCATGACAACATACGCTTTGTGAATACACACTTTGTAAATCAATACTGTAAATTAAGTAATATCACGATGTATTCAAGTAGTCATTAGCTCAGTTTTTGACATGAAATGAATTCATTTAAAATTGTTGTTTTGTGTGGTTGTTTTAGAACAAATTGAGCTTACTTACAGTTCTTTATATTTAACAGCTATTTCCAACCTAGATCTCCTCCTTCACCAGATGATTAAAATATTTTTTCCAATGAGTTTAGAAGGTAGCAGCAGTATATTAAATAATTCTTTGACTAGCCATAAAAAGTCCTTAGAGACAAGGAGAAGTTTTGGTTTTGTTTTGTTTTTTATTTTTTTTTGTCTGCACATGAAAGGAAAATAGACAAAACCACAACTGCGTATTTGATATGTGGAGAAAAATTAAAATATCATATTTATCATGGCAAGTTATAGAATAAATGTTGTCCTCAGACATAATTGTATTTCTAGGAATTGCTTTTGATACCTATATCAACTTATAATTTTTCATGTGAAATATAGTCTCTACATGGTTCATTTAAAAGATAGATTAGTTATTTTATACCGATAAGAATTTGACTCTCATTAGTTATGCATTTCCCTTGGTGATAGATTTGATTTGTACTGAATTGAAAACATTAAAGAGAATAGATTTCTAAATTATTTTAAATTACCAACATTATGTTTTATTTAAATAAAATCTGTGCTTCAATGAGATTAATACAATATTCTAGGGTCTATTTTCTTATAACTGTCACATTTCATATATGAAAGATAGTATGTAAAAATATTAAATTGTTAATTTTTCAGTCAGCAATCTCAACAAGTTTTTAAATCAACCACTAAAGCCATTCTGAAGCTTTTTCGCCTTGCCAACACACAATGGCTGACCAACAGACTCATTTTTCCCTTTAGTGTGATGAAACAACTGGTGCCATCCAGTTTTCAATTCTGTGGTATCCGGGCTGCTGCAATGCCAGCCTTCCAGAATCAGGTTTTATCCTACAGATGCCAACAATAGCTTTTCAGTAATGGTGTTCCTAAAGGGCATTAGAAAAGTTGAGAAAAGAAAATTGAGCAAGTTAGTTTGACATATTGCTCACTTTACCTCTCACTGATATGAGTTAAGTAAGAGAGTCCTAGGTGACCCAAAACACCGAACTTAGTGTACTTTCAAACTCAATTTTGAAAAGCTGTCCCACAGAAGCAGTTATACATGTTTATGGATCCATTTCATTCCATTCTGTTCCCGAGCTGCTATTATTAGTCCTAAGAAACCTACAGCTTTATTTTTTTAAATCTCTTACATGGTAATTGGATATACAAATGGAAAAGAAACTATAACTTACTTTTACAATATCCATTGGTGATTTTCATTGGAAACTGAGGCAAGTTCTAGATAATAACAATCACATTTTGGAAAATTAAATTCATCTGGAACCAAAGGCCTTGGTTTTCATTTGATAAATGTATTATGAACAGTGACAAAAACAATGAGCAATTTGGTGAAATAAAATATAAAATACTTGCATTTCACATTTTAGCTATTTACATGTTAGCTATTGTATAGATAACACTATGAATTATTTATGCATCTACTTTTATTTTAAGAATATTCTTTAGAATAGAAATAAATATAGTCTTGTCTTGCCTCTCAGTTTCATTTTCAATTATTTACAGTATAAATCCATAGGATAAATTTATTTCTAATTATGTGAAGGGACTTCATACATTTTATAGGTTTATTGTAATAAACTATATCTTATGATATAATGTAAATAAATTTGTGAATAATTTAAGTGCACATATGTAAATCTTTGAATATCTGTCTTCAAAATGTGATCTTTGTAGTTATGTCTTCTTATGCTATCTAAGCATCTAAGGAATCTTGAAGGTAAATAGTATTCAGAAATTCATGTAAACTTTCCAACAGGATTTTATCTAAATTTATGATTATTAAATTATTGTCTGCACTAATTTGATCTTTCATTTCCAAGACACTAAAGAAGTTTCCTTGGTCATTTCATTAAACAGACATGTTTTGAAGGTTACACATATAATTAAATGTTTTTAATATTCAGGATAGGAAAATTGAGATACAACATCTCCACTCAAGAGTCCACAGTCTTCATGTGATAAGAATTTTAAAACTATGAAAATACAGTCAGTTATAAGGATGACAAGTGAGAACTGACCTACAGATCTGGTGATTTTGATGAGCAATTTTGATGGGTTAGTGAGGGCAAAAGTTTGGTTGGAACAGGTGCAAATGATGCTGAGAGGAAAGATCTGGTAACTGCCCTCTCAATGAGTATTTCTGTACAGGGAAAAAGGATAGGGTGGGTGGTGGCTAGAGGAGGCATGGGATCAAAGGACTTAATTAAGATGGGAATTGGAAGTGTGTGTATATGTGGGTGGAAATGATGCAGTAAAGAAGGAGAGATGATGATTCTGAAGAGAGAAATGTAGAGTGAATGCCGTGAATTACAAATGGTTGGGGAATGGGATCTAGTGCATAAATTTTGGAATTACTCTTTGCCTAGAGTATAAATGCTTCCAGCAGCAGAAGAGGAGTTGGTATAAATGGGCAAATATACAGGATGGGCATTTCTGGAAGTTATTGTTTTCTCAGTGAAATAGGAAGAAGGTCATCAGCTAAAAGTCATCAGCTACACATGCTTAACTGTTAGGATGGCAGAAACTGGTAGATTCTAGATGAACCTAAGTGGAATAGTTGTCAGAGATACTGGGAGAGTGAATGGAATAGGAAAATATAATTGTGACTTAATAGTATGAGATGAGTTAGCCAAGTTGTATGTTTTTCTCCAGCTACATTTCACTGTGAAGGCACAGGAAGTACTAGGTAGTGAATTGGACAAGCATTTCATACCAAACATAGAGCACAAACCATACAAGAAAAAATTGATAATTTTATAGACTTCCTCAAATTTTAAAAAGGAAAAAAACTCTTTAGAAGACACTCTAAAATAAATGAAAAGGCACAAATTAATAGATTTTAAAACATACATCTAGTAAAAGGTCTTGTATTCACATTATAAAAATATTTTAACCACTCAATAATAAATGAACAAATAACATAATAATAAAGCAAGCTAAATATGTGAACGAAACCTTCACCAAAGAAGATATACAGATGACAACTTTGCACAAACAATGCTCATCATCATTAGTTATTAGGGAAATGCAAATTAAAACCATGGGAGATACTAAATGGCTAAAACTGAAGAACATACACAAAATAAAAGAGAAATACCTGGTTGCAAAGGTTGGCAAGGAAGTAGAGCAACTGGGACTCTCATACTTTCTTTTTTAAAGAATGAGAAGTACAACAGCTGCTTTGGAAGTTGGGCTTTTTCTTTTTCTAAACACACACTTAACTGTGTGACTCAGCAATACCCCTTCTAGGTATTTTCCCAAAGGAAATAAAATATATGACCATACAAAGACTTATACATGAAAAATGATTACAGCTTTATATATAATAGCCTTATAATGGAAACAACCCAAACCTCAACTGATGAATGGATAAACAAATGTGTCTTACCCTTATAAAATGAAGCAATTCATCATTAAACAGTAGCCATCTGCCGATGAACACAAAATCATGGGTGAAGCTGAAAAGCGTTATACTAACTGAAATGAGACAGTTAGAAAAGAATTGATGCTGTAGGATTCTATCTATATAAAACTCCAGACAAGGCAAATCTATAGTGACAGAGTATTAGTGGTTCCCACAGACTGGTGCTGGGGGCTGGGTATGAAGAAAGGGGATTTTCTGCGCGGAGGCAGAGGGCATTCCTAAGATTAATTCTACGTGGTCATGGTATTTTCTCATTTTCATGTTATCAGATTTGATTTGTTAAAACTTTGTTGAATTTTTATATCTGTGCTCACAAGGAATAACAGCTTGTAGTTTTCTTTTTCTGATTTTGATATCAGGGTAATGCTGGCTTCATAAAATTAGTTGATGGGTTTTCATCTTCTGTTTTCCAAAAGGCTTTTGTATAAATGGTATTATTTTCCCCTTAAAATGTTTGGTAACATTTTCCAGTGAAGTCTGGAATATTTTTTCTTCGTGTGTGTGGTAAGATTTGTAATAAAAGCACTCACTTTCTTCTCTACTACACAGCTCTTCAAATCATCTCTTCATTCTTAAGTGAGGTTTGGTAGTTTGTTTCCATCAACCAGTCAGATTTATTGGCATCAAATTAATCATAATAGTACCCTGTAACCTTTTTAAATATGTATAAATGTTGTAGTGATATCATCACGCATATTTTTTATAACGTTGATTTGTATCTTCTCTTTTCTTTCCTGATCAGCCTGGATAGGTTTATAAATTTTATTGGTGTTCTCTAAGAATTAACCCTTAATTTCATCAATTTTCTCTATTTTTCTGTTTTTGGTCCCTTTGATCTCCACCTGAAACTTTACTTCTGTTTACTTTCAGTTTCATTTGCTCTTGTTTTTGTAGTTTCTTAAAGTCATTTATTTGAGATCTTTCTTCTTTTCTAGTAGAGGTGTTTGGTGCTATAAAATTCCCTGTAAGTTCTACCTTACCTGCATCCACAAATTTTGATATGTTTATATATTTTATATGTTATATATATTTTTTATACTATAGACTTACACTGAAGTAAGCTAGAGAAAACAAAACCTTGTTAAGAAAATCATAAGGAAGAGAAGATATGCTTACAGTATTTATTGAAAACAATGCACAATAAGTTAACTCGCACAGTTCAAGCCCATGTCGTTCAGGGGTTAACCGTGTAATGAATGCTGGCTGGGTCTCACTTCATATGGTACTTTATATCATTGTAGAATATCCAGGGATTTTATATTTGCCATCTCATTTAATCCTCAGAAAAATTTATTAAGTGGATGTTATTCCCATTGAATAAAATGAAGAAAATGAGATTTAAAGCATTTTCACAGCTATGTGACCAGTTGTTTTGAAACCAGGTCTTCTGACCTCATTATCATTGCTTTTTCTAGTATTTCACAGATGCCTCTGTGATGATTTTATTTTATTTTAAGATTATATTTATTGGGGTGACATAAGATTATATAGGTTAATAAGATTATATAGGTTTCAAGTATACGTTTCTATGATACATGATCTGCCTATATTGTGTGCCCACCACCCAAAGTCAAAGCCACAATATATTTGCCCCCCTTTACGCTTTACTATTCCCCTACCCATCCTCCATCTGATAACCACTATGTTGTTGTCTGTGTCTGTGAGTTTTTGTTTATATATATACTTAAAACGAGTATATATTTTACTGTGTTTGTGTGGTCTGTTAATCACAATGAGATCAAATTGTTTGATATTGTTGTTTCTCTTATGTATCTTTACTGATATTTCTAGCTACTTGTTTTAGCAATTATTGTGAATGTTGAAATTAACTGTAATTATGGATTTGTTTCTCCTTTCAGTTCTGTCAATCTTTACTTCATGAATTTTGAAGCTCAGTTACATTAGGTATATAGACTTTTATGAATGTTACATCCTTTTAATGAATTGATCATTTTATCCTTATGAAATTACTATTTATCCCTCCTAATATCCTTTTTTCTGAAGCCGATTATGTTTAATATTAATATGGCCATTACAGGCTTATGGATTTTTGTTTAAAATTTGCATGATTTCACCTGTTATTTTACTTTTCCCCTTATGGATTTTTATATTTAAAGTGATTTGATTATAGGCAGCATAGGACTAGTCTAGCTTTCCCCTTCTGCAGGCTTGGCAAATCATCTTCTCATTAGGATGTTTAGACCATTTACACTTTATGTAATTATCAATATGTTTGGGTTTACATTTTATATTAACTATTTTTTTGTTCTCTATTTGTTTCAAATGTTTTTATTCACTTTTTTATTCTGCCTTACTTTTTAAAAAAAATGTATTTTTTATTTATTTTTAGAGAGAAGGGAAGGGAAGGAGAAACAGGCAGAGAAACATCAATGTGTGGTTGCTTCTTGCGGGCCCCTACTGAGGACCTAGCCCACAACCCAGGCATGTGCCATGACTGGGAATCAAACTGGTGACCCTTTGGTTCACAGGCCTGTACTCAATCCACTGAGACACACCACCCAGGGCATATTCTTCCTTACTTTTGATTAATTGTATGTTTTAGTAGATTCCATATTATCTTTCATTTATTTACTAGAGGTATTTCTTTATGTTAGTGTTGCTTTCAGTTTTATGTTATACATCTTTAGTTATCCCATTTTCCCTTCAACATTACACCTCTTCATGTTTAGTATAATAACCTTACAACCAATGACTTGCAAAACTTTACTATATCATTCTATCCCAACAGATTTTCTCCTTCCTCTTAAATTATAAAATGTTTCCTAACCACTCTGTACCTGTATATCTTTATCTATGTATAGTCTTAGATACTATTCCCTATACTACTATCTGAAATTGCTTTTTAATTTTTATTGTGATTTAATGCCAACATTGTTATTCAATAAATGTATCATTAGTAAATACTTTTCTTGGGGATGTTATCTCCCCAAATTTAAGTATAAGCTTCTTGAGGATGGAGGCAATGTTGACTAGTTCCTGTCTCCTAAAAACTCTGGCCTAGAGCTAGGCACATAGCAAAGTAACACACTGTTTACTGGATGAAATATCAAACTTGTTTTGAATATCACATTGATACGGAAGGAACAGAGTTTGAAACATTGGACCAAATTTCCATCTCAGCTCCTTAGTTGCACCAAGGATGAAATAACTTATGTTTTTGGTACAAGTATGTTTTCTGTTTACTGTTTACTAAGGAATATATTTTAATAGAAATAATAGTTTACTAATTCTAGTTAGCAAAGGTTGTAACTAAAATGTGCATGTGTAAGAGTTTTCCTTCTGTGTGCAGGGACGTGTGTGCTTGTGCATATGTGTCACCGTGTTACTGCATACGGATGCCATTTGGGCTATAA